AGAAAACACAAACAATTCAGAAATATATCAAGTAAACCATAAGAATCAATTAAAAATACATGTCTGCTTATTATGCAAGTATATTCTAATTGTTGAACAAGCAGCTATTTTCACCCTTTATATAAACAGTGAAGTTTAAAAAAATCAAACTATATTTCAGGGAATTGTTAGTATCACTTAGAACTAAGGATTATAATCGGCACTGGATATAAATTTAGGAGAAACAAAAATATTTTTTAAAAAAAACTAAGTACCATCAGTAACTAGTGTAATGATGCCTGGCTTATGAGGTTTTAAAAGGCAAATGTAAAATAGATATCATTGCAAATAGCCACTGAAAAAAACAAATTGAAATTCTTTGTGCAGAAGTGTGTGTGTGTGTGTGTCTGTGTCTGTGTGTGTGCATGTTTCTTTGTGTGCATGTGTGTGTGTGTGCACGCGCGCACACGTTTGTGTGTGCATGCATGCATGTGTGTGAGAGAGACAGAGAGAGAGAGAGAGAGAGAGAGAGAGAGAATGCATGTTTATGGGTATGTATTATACACCCATAACTAGTAACTCTAAGCTTTGGAGGAGCACAGAGTTACATCCTATGTGTAATAGCATGCTATGGGAAGTCAGACACAATGGTTTGTAAAACATTTTACAGCTTAGGATACTGAATGAACCCGACAATTTTTATTTATTCAGTATACTGTATTACCTAGTTTGTGGAATGAATCAGTATGGAAAAAAGAATACTGGGTTAGATGGGTCTGGTCTGGTCTGGTACAGAGCATAAGATCTTATGCAAGTTTTCTCAATGTCAGAAGACCAGTTATAGTGCAGAAGGCAATTTGCTTAACAGTACTTTACTAATCTTTCTCATAAAACATGTGGTTCAAAAAACTTTATCCTTCTATCACATGAAACTGATGCCACACAATGCTCAGTGCTACAGATAAGTCTTTTAGAAGCCAAACTAGTTTGGACAAAGTTGTTAGCCAAAAGAATATTTGAAATCTGTGAAATCTGTGAAACAACATATGCTTCACTAATTCACACTTGCTTCATGGAAAGTCATAGTTATTTTAACCATTACTTTAACCATTACATGAAAACCACACTATAGGAATCCACGCTACAGTAATGTCACCATCACATTCTTTGGATGATGGAAACTGTGATGTATTCTGCTTTCTTCTCCTATGAAGGCACCACAGTGCAAAATTTATTTATTCATTATATCCTGCCTTTATCATTTTTACCAATAACTCAAGGCAGCAAACATAACTAAACCAGCTTCTTCCTCCAATCTCCCCACAACAACAACCCTGTAGGATGAGTTGTAGGATGAGGAAGGGAGGGAGGGAGGAGACTGATTAACCAGCTAGCTTTCATGGCTAAGATTTGACTAGTACTCATAGGCTCCTGGTTTCTAGCAAAGTGCCTTTACCACTAGACCAAACTGATGTACAAATTGCAGTGATTGAGCACATGTGTTGAACTAAATCCAAACCAAATAACTTTATGTACAGCCTACCCATTGTTTGTATATGTAGGTTGTAATTTTCATTATAAAATTTTATTAACCATTTCCATAACATATAATCACATGTAAATTATTACCTAGACAATATCATGTTATAAGAGAGGACAATATACATGTGCAATCATCTTGCTTTAAAATCAAGCCTAGTATACTTCCGCCCCCACCCCCCCCCCTGAGCCCCCACAACCTACCCCCCCCCCGACTTCCCAGAACCCGTACACGGCATAGATATTTAACAACCACAGTCTAAGATATATTGATAAAAAATAACATTAAGAAGTTAATAACATCTTTACGTTGAACTTAGCTCCTCCTTGCTAAACTAACTTTAGACAATTGAAATCATTCCTAATCTTAAGGATAGGCTATCTGGAATTTCTTAGTCCCATATTTATTTTGAATATAATCAATCATTTTTTCCAGTCTCGTTTATATCTCTCATTTGAATGGTCTTTAAGATAGGCAGATATTTTAGCCATCTCAGCTAAATTTGTGACTTTCAGTGTCCATTCTTGAATTGTAGGCAAATCTTCCTTCTTCCAGTATTGCGCCACCAACAGTCTTTGTCAAAAAAAAAAAAATCTAGGTGCAATGAGAACAGTTCTCCTGTGTGTTTGTGTTACTTCTTCTATGGATCCCTATTTTTTTTTCTTTCTCCCAAGTGGATACACAAAATTTATGGGAACTGACTGTATACATAACGCCTTGAAAACACAGATGAATGGCAAAGACCAGGTTATAATGACATAATAACAGCTATGAAGGGAGCACCATCTGATGGACAATAGTTGAAGTGCACAGGTTACAAAAGAAGCTTTCGTGTATTTTTAATATTAAAATCCATCAGAGATACAGAGCTTCCCCCTTTTTTTTTCTTTAATTATCTGAGCATTAGCCATGCAAGTGGGTTGCAAGGCATTAAATCTTCAGCAGTTAAGTGTAATCTTCAAGGTGAAAGAAGCAACATTCTCTGTAGCCTCATTTACAAAACTAGGCACAAAGTCCTGTTTTATTTCTATATTCTTTATCTCTTCAGCAGCAAAGTGAATACCAAAAGGGTGGCAGTTAACATTATGAATCACATGGTGATTAACAAACAGAGACAGTGAAAAGTTCCTAACCTGCTTTCTAATTGTTGCTGCCCAATTCTACTTTTAGTTTATAATTAAAAAATGCAATACTGTGTGTCTTCTCCTGTGTGTCTATATATTGTCTGGAAATTTATTTTGAGCATCAAATCACAATGCTATTGTTTAAAAATAAAACCTGCATAGCATTTTTTCCAGCCTGAAAGCTTTGCTTTTTTCTTTCTTTTGTGTAATTCATTCAAAGTAGATCATTGTCACTTGCACTTTCTGCAGAACATCTACTGCAGACTCATGGTGGCAATGCATAAGTATTGAAGAAGTTACTTTACTGTTGATTCTACTGCAACAGTAAGAAGTAAAGATCTGCTATGTTCGGGATCATATAAAACCTCTATCAAGAATTTAAATTGAGAATCAGAGACTGCAAAATCCACCATGGTCCATGTTTTCATGCATGTTTAGGTGTCATACAACCATCCTAAATGTGTACTTTGAGTTCTCACATATTACACTAAGCCACATTTTTTTTAGTTCGGGATTGCTATGTTCTGTAAACCCAGCAACTGGTGATTGGTGAACCACTGCTTATGACTTTTCCGTTTGTACGAACCAGCCACTTTTGATTTATTCAACAAACCATGGTTAAATAACCTGCTGCTTGGCATGCTGAACAAACCTCACATTAATGAGGAACTTTTAAACTTGCAAATTAATATGGAACTCAATTTGCTTCAAATTCACACATTCATAAAATGCTCTAGTGCTGAATCGCTATTTGCTAAAAATGAAGAAGATATTTAATCTGTAGTCTCAAATATCTATAGACTACCTGGGATTGTCATACTTAGCAGACCAGTATGACCCTAGAAATGACCTTCCCCTTCATAGGAAATTACCAACTGATTTTTCCCCTTCCCCCCTTTTAAAATGAAATCTAAGACTCTATTCCCTGTCAATCTAAATTATGGCATTACCTAGTGGCAATTGCATTAAAGGAAATATTATCCATATCATTCTGTTTTATACTATATGTACACACAATAAATAGGTATATTTTCCCACGTTTTTATTGAAAAAGCTTCTATTAAAACACAAAGTGTTGTTTCAGGCATTTGAATTCTGAACTCTTTTATTTAGCTGGAAATGTTGAGAGCAACCTGTTCTTTAACTGTTCCAACACATTGTTGAAAGTTCCAACACATTGCACATTGGAAATGTGCAATAGGCAAACATCTATACCTGCATAAAGAAATTTCAGACACAGAGGCATATAAACATAAATATAGATTCCTGAGTTACAAGTGTGGCAATGCCACCAAATAAAAATGACAATAATTAAAATGCACAAATTGACAATTCCTTGGTAGGATAAAGTACAGTAAGAGCCACATATAGTTGGCCTACATGGGGTGTTCATTAGAGCAAAAAGTATCAGAGGGTCCAATTGAACAAAGGAAAACAGACTCAAAAAGATTTTCAGACTCTTTTTCCCCCTTATCTTCATGCCTTCAGAAACACAAACTCCTTCTAAAGTAGCAGCTTTTGGCAACTGAAACCTGAAACTGCAAGTTTTTCCAAGTCTCTAGATCCTAAGGGGTGAGATGATTCCTGGAGAGGATTGCACTGTAGAGGCAAATCACCCAATAAAGTGTAACTCTGTTGGGCAAGTTTTGAGTTAAAGTCTCCTGTTGTACATTTTTAAAATGCTTGATGGAGCATTCCTTTGATGGAGACCAACTGTTTGCTATAAAAAGAATTTGAGTGTCTTGACTCCAAAGAGAAGATGCCTTCAGTATCATATAAGAAGCAACATTTAAGCTTCTCTTGGTTAAAAATAAGGGCACATCTATAAGGTTCCTAAGAAAGAAAGACCAAGCCACATGGAAAGAGAGCACCCTTATTTGGAGATACCAATTCTAATTTGGAACAAAAGATTCAGCTGCCTTTGTTTCCAGGTGGGCTCCATGGAAATTATCCCTAACGCAGGTAAACGGAACATAGGATCGCACTGAGCTGATGCATTTGCTGTGTTTAAGATAGGGGGGGGGGAATATTTCAGCAAACTGCCCCTGGTAAGATTTTGTCTTGATCTTAGCAATTAAACTCTCTGACACCTTAGCCACCACAATCAGGGAACACAATCCAAGGACCTCCAGAAACTTAACCACGGAGGGAATGGCGACCTGATCCGGTAGAGAGAGAGAGAGAGAAAGAGAGAGAGAGAAGGAAGGCAGAAGGTCCAGGAAACCTCGCAAGGCAATCCCCGGTCGCCTTAGAAGCGATGGTTTACTTCAAAGCAAAAGCAGTGCTCTCGCGCACCAAAAGAAGAAAGAAAAAGAAAGCTCTAGCCACGCTCCCGTCAAAAGCCAGGAACCGCTTACCTGCAAAGACTTGTCCCCGACTTCTTTGCAACAGCTGCAAGAGAATGGCAAACGTAGCAATCCTAGTCATTCTTTGAGGGAGTTCATATGCCCTTCCCGCGGCAATCGCAGCAGAAGAGCGGGTTCTCCGTGCGTCCGGCAAACATCCCTTGCATTGATAAACCCGAAGAGTTGGGACTGGAGCGGATTCTCTCGAACGCGGCTGAAGCCTCCGCTATCCCTGCTCTGAGGAATAGGACAAGCTGATTGAAGAAGCGAAAAAAGGGGGAGATATCCCCCGAGTCCTATCGCTCGTCTTTTCTCCCTCTCCCACTCACTCATACGGAGGGAAGGAGCGAGGGGAGGCGAGCGGAGGGCAATAAACAAGAGAAAGCCCCACGCATCAATCGCCCCTCGCTGCCTGCTTCACTATCGGGGAAAAAGCCCCATCCTGCATTCCTTTTTGTTTTGGCACTAGGCGACTGGAGGGCGGGGAAATGCGAGTCATTAACAAGACGTTTCTATCCCGGACACCCAGCCCGCGGAGAAAGGGAATTGGAAGCTTCTCAAAGCAAAATCAATTGAAAGACTGTTTTGTTTTCTGCCCGCGCCCGCCCGCGCGCGCGCGCGTGCCGCGATGGGTACTCCGCCGCCTGAGGATAAGTATTCGCTGCTCTCCGCTCCAGCTAGGAGCCCAGGAAAGAGGCAACACAAAAACTGGCAAACCGTTTCACGTGTGATAAGGCGCAGTTGGTTACGTGTGATTGGGAGGCAGGGCAGGATAGATTTAACACACAGAGAGACACACACACACAGAGAGAGAGAGAGAGAGTTGTGGTGTGTGTGTGTGTGTGTGTGTGTGTGTGTGTGTGTGAGAGAGAGAGAGAGAGAGAGAGAGAGAGAGAGAGAGAGAGAGAG